AAAAAAAAAAAAAAAATTCCTTTAATGAACAATTTCTATGAAAAATAAAGTCAAACGAATACCAAAAGATTCAAAATTTTAACATTTTCCTGGTGGAAAATTATATCAATCAAACACAATTAATTAACAATTTCTAAGAAAACAATTCTAAGCAATTCAATTCCCTAAATTTCATTTTCTTTTCACCCAAATTCCAGTATTGCAATCAAACGGACCGTTATGGTTCTATTAATTTTCAATTTTTCCTATTTGATTGGCCATTATTTTCCATGGAAAATGAAGAATAAATTCCAACTTCCACTTTTGTCTTATTTGATAAACTTCTTTTTCGATGTAATTCATTTTCTTGGCTTGGCTCTCCTTGGTTTTGTGGAAAATCAATTTCCACCAAATATAGTCTATTTCAGCTAGAGTTATATTAATTTTCATCTTTTCATGTTTGATTGGCCATTATTTTTCGTGGAAAATGGAAAGCAAATTTCAATTTTCACTTTTGTCTTGTTTGATTCACTTTTTTTCGATTGAATTCGTTTTCTTGATTTTCCAGTTTTTTTTTTTTTTGTTTGCAATTGGAAAAAATTATAGACACAATAGTAAAAAAATTTATCACTTTTATTGACAAATTTCATGAAAAACAAAGTCAAACGAATGATATTCAGTATGATAATTTTTTTGGCAGTTAGAACAAATTCTAGACCGAATAGTAAAAAAAACTATTACTTTAATGGACAATTTTCATGAAAAATGAAGCCAAACGGACACTAAAATTTCAACATTTTTCAGGTGAAAAATTATACCAATCAAATACAATTAATTACAATTTTCAGTAAAAACAAATTTTAGGCAATTCAATTCCCTATAATTTATTTTATTTCCACTCAAATTCCACATTTGGAATCAAACGGACCCTAAATATTTGCGTAAAGATTCCACTTTTAAGTTTTAACCAATATGTAACAGAATATGTACGTGGTTAAGGGAATAATTTTACTAATATGGGCTAAAGCTATTTTCTTTTTGGAACAAAAGGTCCGTGACAAAGGCGTAAATTTATGATTTTTTTTTCATTTTTTTTTCTATGGAACGTCAACACGGGATTTTGTTGATTTCAATAATGAGAATGTGTACTATTTGGGATGTTTTGTAGGTTTGTGTTATTTTGTACAAATTTTGAACAATTGTACTACATTTTGTACTTGTCATTGCTAAATTTTTAGTCATAAGTGACTTGTGGATGATCAGATGTTGCTTACAAGTTTTATTTATCATCAAACCGTGTTAGTTCTATTAATTTCTTATTTCCTTTTTCTTATCCTCGCAGCGTATTCATCATCAGTCAGTTTTTCATTCATGTAATCCCAAAGTCGACAACGGTTCTTGAACTTGTTGATGCTTTGGGTGTCCATTGAAAAATTCTAGATCTCGGAAGGTAAGGGTTTGAGGGAAATGGAAAACTCACGTTTTGTTTTTATAGGGGAAACTCTAGGGCATTAAGCGGATGTAGTGGGGTGCCGCCAGCCCATAAGAAAAATTGAGAAGAGAATGCATAATTTTGGCCCAAATATATGTTTTTAGCCCAATTCTAATTTGAATCTCAAACCAAGCCCAATGCTCAATATTCAAAGTCAAATTTCATTAAGAGAAAATTACCTCAAAACCTGCATTTAAAGATAACATTTCAAAAAGAAGGGGATTAAGGGTGTGTTTGAGCTACATTATTTTGGAAAAATGTATTTTGGAATAGTAGATTGATGGAGAATGTATGGTTGAAAAAGAAGGAAAAATTATTGATGTGATGAAAAATATTATTTTATTGAAAAATGTGTGGTTGAAAATAAGTAGAAGAACGAGAATGAAAATTTTAATATGGCTCAAACAGGGGCTAAGTTTTATTTTCAAGAATCAGGTGTTAAATAGAATTATTAATGGTAATTAATAAATCATTCATCCCCAAACCGCTACTTATTTCCACTCTCTCTCTTCCGTCACCAACCTTTGTAAGCGGCGGTTCCGCTACTCCAACCAACCAAATACCACCGTACATGACCACATCATCTCCGTCCCCTTCCTCCTCCTCATCGATTGTTATAGTAATCATTATAGTCGCCTCTGCCATCATTGTCTCGGCCCCGATTTACCTTCTTCTTCGTTTAATTTCAAAGCGCTTCCACCGCTCATTCCACACCTTTGCCGCTGCAGACGATGTTGTTCTACGCCATCACTCAAATCCGAACTTGAATCAATGCCATGTGGTGTCGAGCAATCTGCTCGATTCTCTTCCTCTCTTCACGTTCGGCTCCATCACTGGAAACCTTACCGGCGATGATTCTGCGGTGTGTTTGTCGAAGTTTGAGCCGCATGATCAGCTCCGTTTGTTGCCGTTATGCTGTCACGCGTTCCACGCCGGGTGCATTGATACGTGGCTCACATTAGGGGATGTGGACCAATTCTTTTACCAATTCTTTTACACTCCACTCACATTAGGGGATGTGGACCACAAGTCGAATTTTTTAAATACATGTGGGGACCGCGCTTTTTGTGAGAGGGGGTAAACCATTAGGTAACCCCCTCTGGCACTAGATTAATTCTTTATAATTTCGGACTCATCAAATCTCCATAAACTAAAAGGATTTTTCTACTTTTTCCAATATTTTTAATTTAATTCATCTTTAACTAACTTGAATTATAAAAACCCATGTGGTCTCTATTGTACTATTATTAGTTATCCTAACTATACTAAAAGAGGCACTTTGCCACGTCATCGTCGCCCAATACGACGCCGTTTCGTTCTTGCGCGTGTTTTCCTTCAATTCGTCATTTCCCACCGCCTCACACACGTAAAATTCTCTTTATCCCTCATTTCTCTCGCTCTCTCCTCTCGACAATCAACAGATCTACGCGTTTCCCCCAAATCAACCCTACTTCATCTTCTCCCCCATGAACACCAGGTAAATCTTTAATTTCTTCCCTTAGAGAGCTGTTGCGAAGCCCCTCATCACCTTCTTCGATTCCCCAATATGGATACACCAACCGTGCGAGACGGAGACAGGAGATGGAGAGGCAGAAATGAATAGTATACGAAGCTATTTCTCCATGCCTCCGTCCACTTGGACGGAGGCATGCCGAGTGGACGGAGGCATAATTATCTCCTTGGTAAATTGTCCATTTCTGTTAGCCTATTCCTGTATATTTTCTTCCATTCTTTTCATGTTTTCTCCAATTTTTATCCCTACTATCAAAATAGTGAATCCACTAAGTACTGTTCATTTATGAGGTATTTTCGTTTTCCCCATTTTAGTGGGGAGTCTTTCATCGAGGGAGTCTTTCATGGGTGTAAGAGAAGAATAAGGTACTATTGTGGAACGATGTTCATTTCAGCTTGCGATTCGTTTTTCTTCCTTTTCCTAATTTTTTTGCAGATTAATATGCTCATCTTCAATTCTCTGGGTCTCTATGTCTCTGTATTTCATTTAGTTTGATGGTTATATTTGAAATATGGAAATAATTATTCGACTGTAAGAATAAGCAATATGGGCTTATTAGTCCTCACCAAAGCTGGTTTCTGTTTGTAAAATCCTTTCATTTTTCCTTTCTTTTTCTGGCATCTTCAGTATAATGTCTTAGGTAGTACTGATGTATTGGTTGTAAAAAATTAGTCCTCACCAAAGCTGGTTTCAGTATGAGGCATTGGTTGTAAAAAAATAACTTAAATCTTGTTCAAGTGAGGATTCATTGAAGGATTCAGACGTAATTGGCTTAAAAAATTGATTTGGATGGATAATTGTGATCTTCGCAAGCAAAAATGACGAGTTAATTGTTTAGTCAAGAGGTTTGAAGGAAGGGCTGGAAGATTTCAGAGCAAAAGTATGTATTTGGACTTTTTTCATCTGCTTTTAAATTTGCTTGTTTGTGCTTTATAGAAAATTTCGATTTATAGGAATCAAATTACTACTTGATTCCTATGTTTAACTGTGTTGACAATTATAGTAGGTTATACTATTATGCTTCCAATTTTCCATAGTGGGGTAAGTTGAAAATCTTTTCACCTCAATTTCTGTACTCCTGTTTACTTTTCTCTATCCTGTAAGCTGTATGTAATTTAAATCTATCTATTCGTGTATTTTGAAATTAGTTTGAAGTACGATCAGAATTTAGCAGAATGCTTGTTCCAACTGTTGTGTGTTGAAAGTACTTCCAATTTTCATTAATTGAGGAAGAAGTGTAAAGAGGATTATTCGAGATTCAAGAGCTTGTGATTGCTCATTTTTTTTTAGAAACCCAAATGATTCTTATTTCAGAATTGGTCAATTTCTTTGTGTTATCCTTTTACACCCCCCCCCCCCCCCAAATTTTTTGAAGTGTTTATTAATTATTTTTACTCGAAGTTGAGTCCTTGCTTGACACGGTGTTTGGGAGAATTTTTAAGAATTTGAGACATTTGCAAAGCTGAGCGGGGGGGAGTTTACTACGTAAATAAATAAGTCGAAATGATATGTTTAATAAATGATTTTCAAACCCATTACATTGGTATGTTTTTTCTGTCACCTCTTGACTTCATTTTCTATAACATCATATAGTCATTAACACAGCGTTCCTTTTCAGGCAGTGGTGCCCAATATTAGATTGTCGAAACAAGCTACCGTTGGAGATGTGCTTAATGTGATCAAAGAAAGGGTTAGTTTATTTCTATAAACATGCTAAATTAAACATTACTATTTCCCTATCCCTATACAATAAAAGAGCCACTTTTGAAGGTACTGATCACAATTTCGCCCGATGAAACGATGTCACTTTGGCAAAAAAAAAAATCCTTATTTATCCCAACACGACCTGTCTGCTTCCTCTATCTATTCCCAGTCGTGAAACAAANGAGTTAGGTGGATTAAGGTCTTTTGACAATAATGTGTGGCAGTTTTTTAAAAATGGCATACTACAAGATCATAAATAAATTTCAAGGTAGAAGAACGTGCCTTTTCATTTTCCATAGACTACAAACCTCAAGGCAAAGAACAGAAGTGCACTTGCTTATAATTTAGCTGCATGATTGATGCTAAGTTATTTAATCAACTAGACCCTCCATAATTTTATTCTGAAACTTAAAGAAAGGCATTCAGGAGGTAGCTTATTGTTTGTTTCTTCTGACAATTAAATATGTTCAAACAACTATAAAAATCCATGTGATTCTTGATCACTAATCTTGTGGAAAAGGAATATATTGAAATTTTATGATCTTTCCCTCTTATATATTTTAAGTTGTCCAACAATTATACCTTTTGAGCTTGACTACTAACTTAGCTTGTGTTTATATTGCTATAAATGATCCATCTTCTCTTCTGTAGTGAGGGACAACTACAAAAATGCACCTCAGTATCTTTATGGCCTTACTCCTTCGCAGATGGATATGTTCATGACAGAAGATAATCCTATCAGACGGCAGGCAGAAAAAGTCACTAATGTTTGCCTCTGATGTTTAACTGCTTACAACTTATATAAGTTTCCCGATGACTATTGTTTTGAAAGGTTGTGTGTTATATGCTATGGCTGACACCATGGCTGTAAGAACCTGTCCATTTTTTATAAATCAGATAATTAACTGAAAAGAAAATTAAGGATCAAACATTTTTCAAAGCCCAAAAATGTCATAGTTCCACTTTTTTTAAGTAAAATAAGAGTAGCTTAACTTGATGGTTTTTGTTTATCTTGCAACTGATCTTTCTTTTAACTTTGTCTTTTGAATATTTTCTGCCAAAAGTGCTGCAAATCAGATGTCTATACAGTAAATTGTTGGAATGAAAAAACGTTGGTGACGAGGAAGAAACATGATTTGCAGGCCCACAATTGGCCCACAATTTCTGCCATGGAATGAAAAAACCAATATTTTCTGCCGTCAAGCAGCAATGCTTCTATCACTTGGAGCGAAAGGTTACCGTGCATTACAGCCAAATTCATCCAGTAAGATTCAATTCTTTGCATATCAGCATGGGTTCTTTCTACATTCAGCTATTCAAGTGCAACCATCCTGATAATAAAGCTTTCTAAATACATGTAATGCATATTTAGGTTCACCGATGATTGCCCGGTTTGGGCATTTACAAGATTTTTAGCTTATTTTTGTTCTCAACTCTGTTCAATACACTGATGAATTGCTGGCGTTGCTAAGAATTTATAACATTAGGCGTTGTAATCCAAATTACATTAGGTTCTTTTGGTCTCTGCTCTTGCTCCTTTTTTGTTGTGTACCTTGGCTGAATGCTCACTGAGGAATTTGTTTTTTACTTTTTAGGTTTTTGATTCTTCAACATTTGCTTTTTGGTCAAAAAGTTCTGTGGACTTTGAACCAAGGCGTATCGGACTGGATAAATAAAATGTTATACCACCAACACCATTTTCGATATTGTTACAATGGCAACTCTACAGGTGTGAAATTGATAGAAAATGACTCTCTTGATCGTGTAATAACATTTACACTTCTATGAAACTTCATTGACTCTTCCACACATTTTTGTAGCTCTATACTCTCTTGCTTTCACACAGCCGCTCATCAGATGGTAAAATGTTTATGACTCATTCTTTAAACTGCAGTTTAAGGAGATGGGTGGAAGAAGCCGTCCTTCTGAAACTCCTAAGATTGCTGAACAACCAACTGAGAAGAAGAAAGGCTTTGCAGACTGGATGAATAAAAAAAATCCTGTTAATGAGGAGAAAGATCACTGGGTAAAATTGTATTCATTTATTTTGTTTAATTGAGTGGGTGAAAATTTTCATTAATACTTATTTTCTTATGTGTTACTGAATAAAATCCATTTGTCATGTATGAGTTGTCCAAATATCTCTGCATTGTCGAATCACTTGAGAGGTGTTTGTATAAGTTTATAGTATTGATGAAATTGTATGGGCTTGAACATAAAATTACATGACTCATCTCATATCGAGCTTGAGTTACGGGAAAAGTAATTTTTTTTCTTTGGCTTTTATAATTGTAAGGTACCTGTCTGGAAATCGTTTTAGAAGTGGCAAGCTTCCAGTTTGCAACAAATGTACTGCTTGCAACTACTATGTCCAGTGACATTTGATCTATATATCTCCATTTTCTACTCAATTCCTTTCTTGGGGGTTGAAGATTTATAATAAGGTTCTCGGTTTTTATTGATCTTGGATTTGTGTGGAGTCTGCAAAATGAGGAATTGGAGATGCGTTTTTTCCATGGTTGTTTATTTTGCATTTTGTTGGAGTATTGAAGCTTTCAAGTTTTATAGAACTCAATAAACGGAGAGAATCTCGGGCAAGAAGAATTTGATTGAGTATATTTTTTTATGTTTATTTCGAATGATTGATATTTTATATTATTAGTTAGTTTGGCTCAAATTTTAGAAAATCACAGAAAAAAGTTGTTGAATCCATCATTTTCTTAAATCCCTTCCCCTTCCCTAAAAAAAATCATATTATTTTGTTGAATTTTTTTATCATCTTTTGAAGAAGTCCGACAATGGTTTGAGGAAGTTTTTGCATGCAAGTCATATGATTGGTAAGACTAAAAGTAGTTTGATTTTATTTATTTATTTACTTTTTGTGTTTTCTTTAGTAATTGAGAATCTGTTTTTTACTTTGAACAGCTGGAGGAGGCTATTGTGCTACAAGCAGTTAATGATACATAACAAAGTATGTTGCCTTCTCTCTCTCTCTCTCTCTCTCTCTCTCTCTCTCTTTTTTTTGTTTTTATTTTCCCTAACGCTTGGGGCTGGCGTGTTTTACTATTTGTAATACAGAAATCATACATAAGCAAAACATTAGAATGGCGTGGAGTTCAAATAAGAAAAGCTTACCTGGTTTATGTATTCTTACCTACTCCATAACTGCTGTGAAAATGAGAAGGACAAAAGTGACCGATTTCCTTTTTTCCCTTTTTATGAGGTTTGAAAATAATCGCTTAAACTTTCTACTTATTTTCCTGCTGACCGTTAAAGATTTTTCTTTTGTGGTTTCGTACAACATTATATACAGGGAGACTAAATTTCTAATTTGCACTTTTCAGTTGGATTGAAGTCTATTTGAGAAGCCATGCTATGAGACTCGTCGTCTGTCGTTTTTGAAAATTTAAGTTGATTTATATTGGTTGTTTATGATGAATAATTTTCCCTTTTGTTTCTAACTTTCTTTTTGTTCATAGGCCACTAGATATAAAATTAAAGATATATTACTTCCCTGATTATTTTACTATGAAATTTGCCACCACCGGAGGGAAATCCTAGACTTCTTACGGCACTGAGTTATCTCTACACACTTCCATTTACATTTCTTTTCTAAATATTTGATGCATCTTGATTCTCCCTTACAGAG